CCTCCTCCTCCTCCTCCTCCTCTTCCTCGTTCTCCTACTCCCTTCGGGCCCTGTCTACCCCATTCCCTCTCTTTGTCCGCCTCGCCCCCCACCCACCCACCCTCCGCGCCCCCGCCCCTCCTCCTCCTCCCCCTCCTCCTCCTCCTCCTCCGCCTCCTCCTCCGCCTTCTCCTCCTCCTCCCCCTCCCCCTCTTGCTCCGCTTTCTCCTCCCCCGCCCTCCCTGGCTCCTCCCCCCCCATCTCTTATCCTCTCTGATGTCCTTCCTCCATCTCTCCTGCTCCCCGTCCTCTTTGCTCGCCCCTCTTTTTCCCTGTCCCTCCCTCGCTCCTCCGCCCCTCCTCTCCGTCTTCCTCCTCCTTCGCTCCTCTTCCCCCCCCCCGCCCTCCTGCCCCTCTTTCGCCCTCCTCCTCGCCGCCCATCTTGTTTGCTTCTGCGCAGGTGGTCATGGAGCCCGACCCGTCATGGAAGGAGCACACCACCGGGATCCTCCAGCAGACTATCGGCCGCCCCGCGACTCGGCGCGGCGAGGTCGACGCACACGGCAGAAGGGTGACAGCAACGCACGAGGAGCAGAAGCTACAGGATCGCATTGACATGGTTGTGCAGTATTGCAATTGGAATGTCAAGAGCAACAGGTTAGTGCACTACGAAAAAGGTTGTGGTAGGTGCAGTTCTCGAGATGATGCGTGTGCTAACGTTGCCGATGCTCTTCTCAATGGCCAGGTCATTCCTGATTCCAATTGCACAGTTCCTTGCAAGCACCGATTTGGGAGTTGCGCGGATGCTTTGAGAGAACAATCTGCTGGCATCATGATCTCGCAGCTGCTGAGGAGGTCATTCGATGAGGCGTTTCCGACGCGGGATGCCCCAGATCTCGTCCCAGAGCACGAAGAGGATGACGCCAGGGAGCGCCGGTACATTAAGGGCAAAGTATATCGGAGCAAAAAGGCGCTTGCTGATTCCTCCAGGTGCCTGCGCAGCATCGCTGTTACATTTGTTTTGCAGCCCCTGGAGTGGGTGTGGTCGAGATTGCAGCATCTGGATGATCAAACGGGCACGCTGGCTCTCATAGTTGGCTCGACCAGCCCGTTCCGTGTTGTGCAGACTGCTCTGCTGGATTTCGTGAACGCTCCGTCGCCTGCTGTCCAGCGCCTTCTCCACCATTACATGGGCGACGCGAGAGCACTGGATCTTGTGCAAGCCGAGTGTCTTCATGTCGTGCTGTGCGCCAGTTCGTTTATCTGGTTCAGGTTCGAGCGAACGTTGGAGTGGTGGCCCTTTAAGCTCCTCCTGTGGGCGAACAACCCCGGGCACGACTACGTGGTCGACGAATTCTTCGCCACGCCTCGCTGTTGCCTCGAAGATTCGATGTCCATCAAACTGAGGGACTTGTACGGCGGAGACGATGGCAAACAGAAGTTCTTAGACGATGACAAACTGAAGCAGGCGCTGCGACTGTGGGGAGACACTACTAAGATGACCAACATGCACATCGAAAGGCTTCTCGCCAGACTCAAGGAAGCTGGCGGAAGGGAGTCCCCATTCCCGCTTGAAAGATTATGCGCCGACGGCTTCCTTTCGGAGTTCGTCAGATGCCACGTCGCCGTCGGCGGTCGCGACTGCCGCGTGTGGACGCGGGCGGACTTGTCCAGGCAGGGCGTGCCCGCAGTTGCCGACGAGATCGCGCTGCGCAAGGCTTCGCAGAATCGTGGGGGCGCCAGAGGGTGGATGGTGTACGCGAGAGAGCAGGAGCTGAACTTGGAGGTCCCGTTGGCGAAGGGCGAGGACAGGAAGGCGTTCTACAGCTTCATGGCCCAGCGTTTCCGCGACCTCCCCCCGCGCGAGAGGCGGCATTACCGCGAGCGTGCGTTGGAGCGCGCGTCTGCGCGACGGACGGGTCGTCAGAGGAGTTCTGAGTTTGACGCCGATGCCCCGCCGCTGGTCCAGCACGCATCCTCATCGCTGTGGGGGCTGTCGTCGCCGGACTTGCCAGTCGACTCCGACCTCTTTGTGGACGCCGTCAGGTGCAAGTGCGCTCCGAGATATGGCAGGGCCTGCTCCGAGAACGAGGCTGCGATGTCCTTCAACAGGTGGGGCCCGAAGTGCAGGGGGGCTTTCCAGAAGGGCTGCTACATCGTGGACAAAGGACCTAACGGGGGAGAGGGTCACGAGGGGGATGGAGGGAGGTGGGGGAGGGGGATTGGGACGCGTAGACAGAGGGCGGGCGGCGGAGGAAGAGGGGGAGGAGGAGGGGGGGCTCAGGAAGAGGAGGGGGAGAAGGAGAGGCGGGGGGGCGACGACGTCGACGGAAGGAGGAGGTCGTGAATGAGGACATTGGGGAGGAACATGATGTCGGCGAGGAGTAGAGGAGATGGCAGCGGGCTGGGCCGCGAACTCAGGGAGTAGGGGGGGAGGCAGGGCAGGGCGGAGGAGGAGGGAGAGGAGTTTGTTCTTTACTGCGGCCCCCCCCCCCTTCAGGATACGTGCCCGAGGGGGTGAACTTCAAGACCAGGCTGACCTGCCAGGAGCTCCACCCGGGCTTCTGTTGCACTGCAGACCGTCTGCGTTACAAGCACTTGAGGAAATTGAATCGCCATTTCTTGCAGTTTTTGAAGCAGCAGAAGTGCGAGCGGTCGATGTTGCTCGCCAGGGTTTTGAGCGCCGAGGGGCGCGAGTTGAGCCACGTGTATTTGTATTGCACTCACGTTCGACAGCGCGATCCTGCCATCGGGCTCTTCGTGCAGTTCACGGCGAGGACCTCGGCTGGGAATTTGCTGGAGCCTGTCGAGGAGGGGGCGTCTCGTGCTCTGAGGCGCGGGAGTCAGAGCTTTTTCCTGAAGCGTCTCGAAGGCATCGGCATCGGACCTCTCAGCACTGGCGAGTTTCACGTGCACGTGCTTGGGGGGCTTCGAGGGGCAACTGCAGCCGAGCTGAGCGCGTGTTTCGCGCGTCCGTTGGGCGTGGTCAGCGTCGCAGAGCCAGGCGAGCCCGCCTTGGTCATCGATCTCAGCAGTGCACGACTTGTCCCTGATGCTGACGAGGGGGGCGGAGATGGCGCTCCGCGACCTGTGGACCCTGCTTTCGCTGGTATGGAAGAGCTCGAAGGAGTGATATTGGGCGGGTTCAATGAGATGAAGAAGCCGAAGCCGCAGAAGAAATCTACCGCTGGATACGTGATCGGGGTCGAGCCTGAGTGCGACCTGACCGTTGACATAGATCCCGCAGAAGTTGCAGCGGCCATGAAATTGGACAATGATCACAAGGTTGATGGCCCATGCGATGAGTTCGACAGCTCCGACTGCGACGTGCACGTGTTGGCGGAGGTGGGGTCCGACTCCAGCGAGGACGACCAGGACGTCATTGCGGCAGTGTACACGGGCAAGGCGATGAAGCACAAGGCGCCGCTCAAGAAGGCGGGAAAAAGGAAGGCTGATTGCCCCCCCGACGGCGCTGGGGGCCCCGGCGCGGCTGGAGCAGCAGGCGCAGGCGCTGAGGGCGGGGCCAGCGGCTCTGGAGCAGCAGCCGGTGACGCTGGAGGTGGTGTTGCTGAAGGCGGAGGGGGCGGCGGCGCTGCAGATGGCGCTGCAGAGGCAGACGCCCTGCCGGGCGTGCGCAAGAAGGGGCGCTACAACTACGTCACGGTGCCTGGCTACGGCGTGTTCGCATGGGACATTGACGAGAGCACGCTCAACGCGCATTGTGATATAGCTTTGCACAACGCTGGCATATCCAAGTGCCACATGAACCGACAGCTGACATGCGCGGATCCAGCGCACCCGCGTCGCGGGGAAGGTCGGCCTCTGGGGCATCTCGCGGCGTGGCTGCTACTGGGACATCAGCGCGCCGAGTGGGGCAAGAAGGGCCACCAGGACATCAAGAAGGCGCTTGGGCGCGTCGAGGGGCATCCAGCTCGCTTGGCCGCTCGGAACGACCTCAGGAGGTTGTCGCAGACGATGCCCGAGGTGGCGCGCCTCTTCGCGCTGGAGAGGCCGCCCACAGCGACTGAGCTTGCGAGCGGCGGGGAGCCTCTCGAGATTTCGTAGCTGCGGTGGGGTCGCAGGATGAATCCCCCTCCCCACTGGTCGTGATCCACACCCCTCCCAACTTGTCGTGATCCTCGCTCGTGCTCGTCGCCCTTTCTCGTCGAGCACCTTGGTCGCCCCTCGCGCCCACCCCGCCCCCCTGCTCAGCTGCTGCGGGGGAGGAGAAGGGCGAGGAGGAGGGAGGCGGAGAGGGAGGAGGGGGGGAGGAGGAGGAGGGTGAGGAGGAGAAAGAGGATGGATGGGAAGGCGGAATACGAGGAGGGGGAGAATGACGAGGAGGAGGAAGAGGAGAAGGAGGAGCAGGGGCACTTTGCACTGGATGCCTTCTGTGACCCGCGTTGGACGCCTCCGCGTCGGGTGCCCGGCGGCGCCCTGGGGATTGGGCGAGGGGATAAACTGTCGGATTTTGTTTGCGGTTGAGAATGGGGTTGCTTGCGATGTCGTTTCGAGGGCGCACTCGCGCCAGAGATGTCTGGGGCGCTCTGGGGGCTGACATTGATGTTGCAATGCATCCTCGAAGGCCGTGGTCAATCGGGTTCGCCCCTCCACCCGCCTCTCATTGGGCTGTTCGAGTGGCCGACGCCTTGCCGACATTGCCGTCCATATCGTCCGTCTGTCTGGGCCCAAAGCAGCTGTTCAGGCGCCGCTGGGTGGCCCCCGCCCTCGTGCCCCCAGCGTCGAAGGGCGAGTCATGGGGAAACGCGGCGCTGGCAGTGATGCCGAGTCCGCGCCTAGGGCCAGGGCCAGGCCGAAGGCCAGTGCCGATCCCGAGGCGAAGGCTGTGCCAGAGGCCGGGGCCGAGCCAGAGGCCGAGGCCGACCCGCGGGCGACGGCCGAGCCGCGGGCAGGGGCTGCGCCAGAGGCTGGGGCCGAGCCTCAGGCCAGTGCCGAGCCTCAGGCCAAGGCTGGGCCTAAGGCCAAGCCTGAGCCTCAGGCCAAGGCCAGGGCCGAGCCTAAGGCCAAGGCCGAGCCTAAGGCCAAGCGCCAGCCAAGGGCCAAGGCTGGCGCAGGGCGAGGCAAGGTGCCCATTCAGACCATGCTGCGGCCCAACATGTTTCAGTCGCTGGGTTCCTCGACGGGCGCGGAGACACAGCCTGAGGCCTCGGGGCAGTTGATGCCCGCGCCCGCGGTCGAGCCGCCGCCCGTGCATTCCTTGCCGTTGGCCGCCGAGGAGACAATGCCAGAGACATTTGATGCGACGCAGGCCTTTGCGGCAGGGGTCGCAGCTGCCGGCCCTCAGAAGCCGCGGCCATTGTCGCAGCCCGCGTCGCAGCCCGCGTCGCAGCCCGCGTCGCAGCCGCAGGCAGCGTCTGGCGTCATGAGCCAATCTCGGTCGCTCAAGGCTGATGCGATTCGTGATGTCGATCCCCCCGATGGTGAGTCCGACGACGGTTTGAGTGGCTCGGAGGCAGCCACAGTACCTGGATGCACAGCTCAGCCCGATTCCCGAGATGGTGATTTTGCGGCTGATGACTTGGACGAGGCATTGGCCGATCTGATAGATCAAGGATCGCCGGCCTCTGCAGTGCGGCCTGCCGCCGCTCCAGCAGCAGCCAGCATGGACAGCCAGCCAGTATTCGGGCCGCCTTGCGAGGCGGCTGACATCAGCGGATGCGCCGACAAGTGCATCTCGAACCAGACGCCCTCCGGCTTGCCCCAGACAGATCCTGATATTTCCGACGCTGTCTCCATGCAGATAGTGCCCTGCGAGACGGAGACGTCGCTTGTGGCGCAGGAGGCGCGGTCCGAGATCTCCCAGGGCTTCATCGACATGGACTCCATCATGGAGGGCTTCACTTCGCTGCCATCCGCGCCCGCGGAGTCAGCGACGGCCGGCGACCGCGAGGAGACGCTGGCCGCTGGGGGGACAGCGACTCCCATACCATCCAAGGACGATGAGGACCAAGGCTGGGATTTCAAAAAAAGTCAGCGTCCGCAGCATGTGATGTAGATGGTCATTCCTTCGAGATTTTTGCATTCATTGAATTCAGTGCTTCTGTATTCCTTGTATTATTTGTATTCTTTGCCTGGGGGAGCCACCCCCCCAGGAGGGTCGGCCCCTGGGGGAAACCCCAGCGAAGCAAGCAATAGAATCTGCGTGAGGGGTGCCACGAATCAATTCTTTGTTCGGCTGGGGTTTCCACCAGGGGCCAACCCTCCTGGGGGGCCGAGCCCCCCAGGCAAGAAATTCAATGAATACAAGAATTAGCGCAACAAGGAATTCGATATCACAAAAATATTATTTGACGACGCCCCATGCCAACCTTCGATTCGGCCCCTGGCGGGCAGCACCGCGCGTCGGCTTCGGTTGACCCTGGGAAAACGCCCGCCCGACGGGCCTCGCAGGTGCGGGCCGCGGCCCTTCGGGGCCAGAGCTGGAGTCGAGGCGGGGCCAGGGCCAGTCTCTGAGCCGTCAGAGCCCTAGCGGGACGAGGGGGGTGAGGATGAAGAGGAGGAGGCGGAGGAGGGGGAGGAGGAGGAGGAGGAAGCTTTTTTTTTTGGGAGGGAGGAGGAGGAGGAAGGAGGAGGAGGATGAGGAGGAGGATGGAGAAGGAGGAGGAGGAGGAGGAGGAAGGAGGAGGAGGAGGGAGGAGGATAGGAGATGAGGAGGAGGAGGAGGAGGACGGAGAGTAGGAGGAGGAGGAGGAGGAGGAGAAGGAGCGCGGTCGGGAGGGAGGAGGAGGAGATGAGGAGGGAGGATGGGGGAGGAGGATGGGGGAGGAGGAGGGGGAGGGGGAGCGGGGAGGAGGAGGGGGAGGAGGAGGGGGGAGGAAGGAGGGGGAGGAGGGAGGGATGAGGAGGAGGAGGAGGGAGGATGGCCCCCGCCGCCAGGAGCAATCCGATCAGGGATCGCCTGGGAGACTCAACGACGACTTTGCAGTGGATGCGGATTGGAACCATCACTACGTGTGCGCCTTGGACGTTACGATTCGCGCGTGGCACGATGCGTTGCCGCCGCGCCATGCAGGGAAGTTGGCGGCGTCGCTGCGCCACCTGCGCCAGAAGGGCACGATCACCATTGGCACTGGCTTCTCTGGGTGCGATATGGCTTGGGAGATTCTGCAGAAGCTTACTGCTGCATGGAATGAACGGTACGACACTCTCATTTCCACCGCTCTTGTTTTCTGTTGCGAAAAAGACCCAGCGAAGCAAGCGTGGCTCAGATCGCATCACCCCGAGACCAAGATGATCTTCCGCAACATGAATGAGATGGCGGGGGCCCGCGCGCACAACATCATCTCGGGGTCGCACGACCTCATTCCGCGGGTGGACATATTCATTGCCGGCTTCGTCTGCATCGATCGGTCGCCGCTGAGCGCCAGGAGGTCATCCCACAAGAACTGCCTGCAACGCCGCATTGGCGACACGAGCGACACGTTCCATATGGTATTGGCGCACGTCAAAGCGTGCAGGCCCAAGGTCATCATACTCGAAAATGTCAAGGGGCTGCTGGAGAAGGACGATGATGAGTCGATCAGCGACGCCGAGTTCGCGGTCCAACAGCTGGAGTCCTTGGGGTACTGCGCCAATGTCAGGGTGTATAATGCATCCTCCCATGGGTCGTGCTGTTCGCGCGAGCGGCTGTATTTCAGGGCAGTGCTGCGCGGTGGCTCCCGGGACCCTCAGTGCGTGAGCACGGCCCATTCCATCATGAACTCGTTCCAGGTCAAAGCGCCTTCCTGGCCAACGGTGTTCGGAGCTGAGTTCAGCTTGCTCGACACCATCTTGGAGCAGTACGACGATGCTGGCAGGCACGGGCGGCAATGCTCCAGGAAGGACCCCCAGTACGTCAAAGACCACATGAAGATTTACCGCGACAACTGCCTGCCGTACCCCCCCCAGGTCACCGACGGCGCTCTGAAGGAGGCACCCGGCGGCCCCCCTCTGGAGGGCAGAGCTGGACGATGGGGAGGATGAGGAGGATGATGGAGGAGGATGAGGAGGAGGAGGAGGAGGAGGAGGAGGAGGAGGATGGGAAAGAGGCGAGGGAGGAGGAGGAGGAGGAGGAGGAGGAGAAGGAGGAGGAGGAGGAGGAGGAGGAGAGAGAGGAGGGAGGAGGGGAGCAGGGGGGAGGCAGGAGGAGGAGCAGGGGGAGGAGGAGGAGAGGGGGGAGGAGGAGGAGGAGGAGGAGGAGGTGGGGGCGAGGAGGACGGAGTAGGAGGGAGGGTAGGAAGGGAGAGGAGGCATGAGGAGGGAGGATGGAGGAGAAGGGGGGGGGAGGAGAGAGGAGGACGAGAGGAGGGAGGGAGGATGGAGGAGGAGGAGGAGGAGGAGAAGTAACTCACAACTTTTCGTTTATTATTTTTTTTGTTTTTTTTTTTTTTTTCATCTTTTTTCTTTTATTTTTTTTTTTTGTTTCTCTTGTTCTTACAGCGCTCTGCGGGAGTACAGCTTTACAGCGAAATGCGGATTTTGCTGATGGGGAGATGGGTGAGGAGGAGGAGGGGGGAGACGAGGGGGGGGAAGGGGGGGGGGAAGGAGGGGGGCGGAGTAGGGGGAAGGAGGAGGAGGAGGGGGAGAAGGAGGAGGGAGGAGGCGGAAGAGGGATGAGGAGGAGGAGGAGGAGGAGGAGGAGGATGAAGGAGGAGAGGAGGAGGAGGGAGAAGGAGGAGGAGGATGGAGGCGACGAGGAGAGGAGGGTTAAGAGGGATTATTGAGGGAGGAGGGGAGGAGGAGGGAGGAGGAAGGATGAGGAGGGAGGAGAGGAGAGGAGGAGGGAGGAGGAGGGATGAGGGGGAGGAGGAGGGCCGGAGGAGGAGGGAGGGGGATGGGAGGAGGATGAGGGAGGAGGAGGAGGGAGGAGGAGGAGGGGGGGACGGAGGAGGGAGGGGGAGGAGGAGGAGGAGGGCGGGAGGAGGAGGAGGGAGGAGGAGGAGGAGGGAGGAGGAGGAGGAGGAGGAGGAGGAGGAGGGGAGGAGGAGGAGGAGGCAGGAGGAGGAGGAGGAGGAGGGAGGAGGAGGAGGAGGGAGGAGGAGAGGGGAGGAGGAGGAGGATGAGGA